AGCTCACAGCAACCTCCAACTCCTAGGCTCAAGCGAGTCTCCTGCCTCAGCCTCCCAAGTAGCTGGGACCACAGGCACCCGCCATAATGCCCAGCTATTTTTTTTGGTTGCAGCCATCATTGTCATTGTTGTTTTTGGCAGGCCCTGGGCTGGACTAGAACCCGCCACCTTAGGTGTATGTGGCTGATGCCTTAGCCACTTGAGCCACAGGCGCCAAGCCTATAGGTTGCTTTCTTGAAAAATAAAAAAGAAACCTGGCTTACTAGAATAAGAGGTAATTATTACTAGGTCTACTACTAGTTCTTTCAGTGTTAGAATTACCCCCAAAATGTCAGATGAAGAAAATTCCTAATTAATATTTCTAGAGTTATTTACAACCATAACTCCTTCTGCTTCAGTCCCATCACATGCCTGGGATGGAGCCTAATATAAATTTTTAGATCATACTTACAAAACTGTTAAACTCTCATACAAGAGCAGCAGTAGCCTACTGCACCACAAAGAACATTCTCCAATTATAAATCAAAAAGCTTTTAATGTTGTAGTAATAAATTTGTACCATATAGCAACAAAAGTTTATTAGCTGGTAAATTAAGAAGACTGGCACCTCTCTTCCTTGAGACAGACTCTGTCATCCTCCCTCAGTGTTTGCTCTGTGCCCTGTGTCATGTAGCACCTGCAAACCTCCACTGTACTCAGTTCTTAGCCTCCTTATCATGTTTGCTCCACCAATAGATAGTAAGGCCCTTGAGGGGTGGGACCACAGCACGTATGCATGGTTTCCTCGACAATGCCTGATTTTTGGCAGAGAGTAGGCAGGCGTTATTCACAAAACTGGAATAAATGATTTCATACACTTGTAATGTCTAATTTTTTTCTTGCTCATTAGGTATTTTACTAGCATTAATTTTTACAAAAATCCTATGGAGACATTTTATAGAGGAGAAAACAGGCTTTCATAAATTCAGTAAATTCACTCCTTCTCCAAAGCCACAGACTATGATTAGCAGGCTTATCAAAACATTTTAGAGAAAATGGGAAAGTATAAAAAATATTCAACAATACTGAATTTGTTTCATTAAGCTGGGCAGCCAGATATATTGCTATATTAAAAGCTTATATATATAAGCTGATTAAAAATTCAAATTCTTCCAGCTGACTTCCATTACCCTGCTTTGCCCTACCATCAGGAGCTTGGGGTATAACTTTCTAGGTCCCTTGCAATGCACACAGATTTTTTCTTACATTATTGGGAATGTACTATAAATTCTGCTCCATGTCCTGCCTTTTAATTAGATCTATAAAGGACACAACTTTTCAATTTTAGAAATGTGAGAATATTTCATAGAGGAACGAACCCCATTCGATAGGACATTATCAGGAGTCAAGGTTACCTACACGATTCCCAAACACAGCTTTATACATGCTGATTAACTTTACCAGTAAGTCAACACTTTTTAAATGTCCCATTTTTCATTTAATGCCCTTCTAACTCTAAATTCTATGATTCTTTCT